TCCAGATGAAGAGATGAAAGCTTGGAGAAGTTCAATAAGCAGACCCAGGTTACAACAGCTAGGGGTAGGGGTAGCTAACAAGGTGAAGGTAAAGCCTTGATCCCCTAGTTGTCGGCAATCTGAAGCCAGAGTCTTAACTACTAACAGTGTTCCTTTCTACCTTCTACTTCTCCACTTCCAGCTATGCCAGAAAAGGAGCTTTTCACCACGGAAATGGCAAAACATTCCCAGTGTATTAAAGATGCAGACATCGTAAATGGAGTTATTCCTTGGTTTGTGTGCTATTCAAACGGCTGTCATTATTTAAAACACACGTTATTGGACAATCGCTTATCAAAGCTACCTGAAGCTCAATTACCATCCTTGAATCAAGAGGTCAGGGTTAAAAGCATCAGATTCAGAAAATAAATCTGGATCTGAAAAGGGAAAGATGACAAAACAGTTTGCTGGACAAGATGTCTGGCACCTTTGGCCACTTTTCAGTGAAATAGAAGGGAAAAGATGTTGAGGTCACGGAGAAAACAATTTAAGTGGGCCAGAAAGAGACAGAGGGTGTGTGATGGCTCCTTTCTACCTGCAGGCGACACTGCCATAGTCTGAGGGAGTCAAAAGTGTAATAAGGAAGAGGAGGAAAGGGGTTTTTCTTACACCACAGCTAGATGCACTAAATTGGGAGACGGAGCCTGACACTCTGACAGCAACACATTGGCCTGGCTCATGGCGTCGTTCTGTGTCAAGTATTAGTACAAATACCATCACTGATGCACTCAAGGGGCATTTGATGTTTCCTTAAATGGCTTCCAACTTGGCACAGGAAAAAACCGAGTATCACAAACATCAGTGTGATTGCTATACCTCTCAAACAGCTTTCAAAGTTGCCTCTGGGTTGACCAGCTTGTTTCCTTACCTGTGGAACATTAGCAAGAGCTACAGAACACATAGAGGATACGACTTTTTGTGTGTTTGTTTGGCTGGAAGCAGGAAGGACTTGGAGTGCTCTGGAAGCTGTTTGAAAGGGACTCACATCAGAACCCAGGAGCTGTGATTGGGGTGAACAGTAATGTGCAGATGCAGACTTGGGGCATGGACGAAAATGGGCTCTTTGCCCCCGAGGCTTGGATTCAGGAAGCCTCGAGTGGGGTCCAAGAACTGGTGTTCCAACTGAGATGCTCATGTGACCTTGATGATGGGCCAGATGCAGTCTGCACTGGTCTGATGGGGACAAGGCTGGACTGAGATTCAAGCTATTGGGGTGCTGGTCCCAGTTCTGGCACCTACTGGGTGTGGGATCTCTGCCAAGTCACTTCTTTGTTTTTTCAGCCACCTCTCCTTATCCTCCATTGATAAAGCAGGAGAGAGTCCTCAGGGAAGATCTCCAAGGATCTTTGGCTCCATCAATCTCGAACAGAGTGTTGGGGTTAGGAACCACCATGGTGCATATGTAGGACCTTAGACTCGAGTCCCCAAACCTGGGTTCCATTTTCAGCACTGCGGCTTTCCAGTTGCTGGAACCCCGACTACTAATATACTTTCCCTGGGACAAGAATATGTATTTATAATATTATAATGAATATATTTATAACAAGTATTCTAATTCTTATAACGAATAGATCTATCATGTTTAAGTCTCCGTTTCCTCAACTATAAAATCCTGATGATAAAAACAGTGCCTATGACAGAGCTTTTTGTGATGAAATAGTTTTTGTGTTAAAGAGGCAGTGTCTAAAGTGTGCCCAGGACAGTGCCCTGCTGAGTGCTCACTACCTGTTAGTTGTGGATAGCCCCGACAAGGTCAACCAGAAAAGCTTTCTGCTGTCCCCTGGAGCTACTGTGATTAATGATGTTCGTGGAAAGGTAACCCTGGCTGAGCAATCCTTGGGCTTGTCCTTTTAGCAAGAGAAATTCACAAGAAATGAGCTTGTTTTGGAAAGGGTGGGCTACTGGAGGGAGGAAGGAAGCTAAGGCTCTCAGGAGGAAATACAGGAACAAATGAGAGAAGGGCATTATACAATCGACTCCATGTTTATCAAAGCGCCATTCAGGGGTGACCTGCTGTAGGAGGGACTGGGTGGTCATTAAAGTAGCACCTTCTTGTCCCTGCTGGATCAGACTCCCAAAGGAGTGAGTCCAGTAATTGGTTTTTCTCAGAAGCTATGCAGGAGATTCTTCCATAAACAGGGGTTAGAGAATCACTGGCAGATACAATTAATGAAACAACCCTCCCCCCAATTCTCCAGTCCTGTGTTTACCCAGGAAAGAAAAGAAAAAAAGAAAACAAAAACAGGGAAGGCAAATAAACTCGTGTGTCTGTGCATTTACCAAGAATCTAAACTTCTTACATTCTTGTCATCTCCAGTGCAGCTGGGTTCCAAGCCAGTGTCCAATTTCTGCATAATTCACGACTCCCCAGAGAAACAAATGCTAGCAAAGGGCTACTTAAGGATGTGGATTATGTCAACTTCCTTAGAATGGCAGCGTGGTTTGTAAAAATTAAATACAACAAGCAAGTGCGTCCCCACTTCCTCTACCCGCTCTGTTCTCCCGCCCTTTCCTTCCTGCTACCCTGGTTCCCATTCCTTTCCCCTGATGCTTTCCCTGCTTATGTTCTTTTCTTCAGATTTATTTTCTCTTTCTTCCTTCTTTCCACTCCTCTCTCCTATATTTGCCCCCTCTACCATATGGCTCTCTTTCTTTTGTCTCTTTCTCTCTCCTTTTGCCTCTGTGTATATGTGTGTCTCTCTTGGATTCCCCTCTTGTTCTGCCTCTATCTGTGTGTCTCTCTCTGTCTTTCTATCAAACACCATACCTCACTGCCCATTCCTTCTCTTGATGCCCAGCTCCTGGCTCCCCTCTCAACAAGGAACCTCCAGGGGGCACACTTCCAGCTAGAAAGCCTGTGCTCCATGCGAAATCAGCCAGCGCCCTCTACAAGAGGCTCAGTCTACTTACAAATTCTTGGAAATCTGCCAGAGAGCCCCAGCGAGGAGGGTCCCTCATGGTAAGGGTAACGAAATCCCCCCTGGGAAGATGCAGCAGGATTACGGAGTAGATCCAGTAAGGCCAAACAGCTCTAGTACCCAGAGCTTCCCCTGGACCTGAAGCCACGGGGCCAAGCCTAGCTAGCAGCCGAGGGTTCTTTTGCATTTTGGAATGTCTATCACTTCATTTCCAAGCTACGAGCGGCTCCATACACCGAGAGCAGGCAGGGGAGTGGCGGCGCCAAGGGGCTGTTGGGACAGCTTCAACATCTTAAAATGTCCACCAGTCTTCTCAAAGCCCATGAACCTCCTCAAAAGACAAAATCTAAGGGCGCCTGGGTGGCTCAGTTGGTTAAGCGACTGCCTTCGGCTCAGGTCATGATCCTGGAGTCCCTGGATCGAGTCCCGCATCGGGCTCCCTGCTCGGCGGGGAGTCTGCTTCTCCCTCTGACCCTCCTCCCTCTCATGCTCTATCTCATTCTCTCTCTCAAATAAATAAATAAAATCTTAAAAAAAAAAAAGACAAAATCTAAGTAAAAATTGAGCACCCGCTTTGCATGTAGCCTCCAGACAACTCTCTCTCCCCTTACACCCCTCCCCCAAGCTGCTCCTCCAACTACCAACGGCAACCCATCTCTAGGTACCTCCTTTATAGACATACCCGAGCTTCGGCCATGAGCAGGGATAACTTTCCAGATCTACAGTTAGGGAAACTGAGGGATAGAGAGGTTCCACAGCAGGCTCTGGAAGATGTTACTTTGGAGTGCCACGGCTATCAGGACCCAGAGGATTTTGCACACTCCACAACACCAAAGGATGGCGAGTTCAGAAGAAACTTTTTCAAAGCTGAGCCACACAGCCTGTCCCAATTCGAATCTCCGTGGGCAGGTGCAGAACTTTGTCTCTCTAGCTTCTTTCAGGGCAGCTCTCACACTCGACCTGCCCGCACACTCATCGCGGCACACCACCTACACACGCCCTTTCCCCCCACCTGGAGCTCTCTCTCCGAGTTTTAGGATGAAAGTGCAGGATGCAGGTAAAGAATAAACTCAGGCCGCCGCTCCTAACGCTCCCGCAACTCCCCCTCCCCTTAGTGGAGTAGAGAGGAGCAAAATGCTGGGGTTTGGCTCGCTGCCCAGCCGAGGGAGCTGGAATACCCGCCACCAGGGACCGAAGAAGGCAGGGACTCGCGTCCGAGGACCAGCCAAGTCCACGTCGCCCTGGCTGAATGGCCCCTCAGTTGCCTGCAAGTTGAAACCTCAGTCAGGCACACAATGAGGCCGCTGTTTTCCAACAGGAGGCATTTGGATGCCTCACACACTCAGCCCAAATCGGGCCTGAGAGCAGAGCGCGTTTCCTTACCCATGTTGGGATGCGCCCCTAGATGCGGCTCAGTTGCGGTGCCCTTCCCGTGTGCCTGGCCACGGGAAGCCCGTGCAGGCCACCTGTTGGACTTTGTCCGGCCACCCTAGATCCTGCGCCCACAAACCGTCACTGAGGCGCGGGGCATCCAGGGTACCCAATTCATCAGGAACAGAAACATTTCACTTGGGCCTCCTCCTATGGCTTGCTACCTTTCCTGCTCCCAGTCACACACATACACACTTCCTTAATATCCCAGCAGTCACTACTCTTTAATGAAGTGCGCTTAGCCTCCCCTAGGGGCCGGGGCTGCCCACGATCTCCGAGCGCGCCCAGGTGTCAGTGATCTCCAAGCTCTTAGCTGGGTGTCTGCTTAATGCGCGGGCGGCAGAAAAGCCCCAAATGGCACACTGGTGGGGAACAGTCAGTGGCCTGCTCTAGGGAGCCCCTTTTCTCCTATGGAAGCGGAAGGGGTCTCCGTCCTTGGTTCACGTGTAGGCAGTCGGGGAAACCCCGAAGGCAATCGGATTGGGGGAACCAATGTTTCATTGCCAAATCCCAGGATAGGTGCAAAGGGGCTCAACTTTCTCGTCTCCCCCTGCCATCCCCGCAAGCAACTAGCTGGGGGAAAAGGTTCGCCGCCACGAACGGGCTACTCACCCCTGGGTATGAACGCTGCCCCCGGAGGGGACCCCAACAGACTGGCGCGCGTGGAATCCGTGAAACGCCTGGGTGTCTCGCTCGTCTCCTGGGCCACGCGGCTAAGGCTACGCGCTCCAAGCGGGGCAGCCGAGGGCAGTAGATCCCATGGGTGGCGAGTTGGCAGAGGGCGCGCCGCCCGGCTGGGGGCGCATCGCTCCCAGGGCTGGCGCAGGCTGCAGTGGGGAGAGGGGCTCCCGGGGAAGTTGGCCGAGCTGGGGGTGGACTTCGGACTTCGCGCTCGCTTCGGCTCGAGCGGCCGGGCGCGTCCTCTGGGACAGACAGGGGACTCGCCGGTGGAATGGGGGCCGGCGTGGGCCGAGAGGCTGCAGGAAGCCTCCGCTGGCCGCCGCCTAGAAGGAGCACAGCGGCATCGCGCTGCCTGGAACCCCCGGCAGCGGCTGGAGCAGAGAGCGAGCAAGAGAGTCGGGCTGCCTCCTCCCGGCTGCGGGCGCCCCTTGCTCAGAGCCCGGCTCGCCCCAGCCCGCCGCGCCCCTCCTCCCGTCCGAGTCCTCCTCCCCTCTGCTGTTTCACCCGCTCGCAGGGCTCACGGGGCTGGGCTGGGCTGGGCTGGGGCCAGAGGCTTAGCGGAAGGCGACCGCAGAGCCCGCAGCATGGAGGGCGATCTCGCCGGCTCGGGCTTGGCCTCGGGCTCGGGCTCGGGCTCGGGCTTGGGCTCCGGCAGTGGCAGCAGCGGCCGCCGCCTCCCGCGCGCCCACGTGCCGGAGCCCCGGTGTGCGCGCTCCGGCCGGCGGGGCTGGAGGGAGGGAGCTAGGGCGAGCCGCGGGTGGGGGTGGCGGGGAGAGCCTGCACACCCGCGCAGCGGAGGAGGGGAAGCCGCGGAGAGGCTCCCTAGGGCGCAGGGCTCCTCGTCTGCAGCTCCGGGAAGACTGGTGTGCAAGGCTCCGCCAGCTCCCCCCTCCCGTTGCAGAACGGAGGGAGCCTGAGCGAAACCCGGGGCGAGGGGGTGGAGGGCGCTCCACTCCGCAGGATCAGCCTGGAGCCGCGGCCGGAGGCTGCTACGTGTCTCCACCAAAGCGATAGGTTCCAAGTATCCTTGAACCCCCTCACCTCTCCCGGGCGAAGAATGGGGTTCGGAAACACCGAGTGAGGCAATATGCGGGTTCCCAGCGAGAGCTTGTTCCGGCTTGCCCCGCCTTCCTCCCAGAGTAAGCACTTTTCCCGTTAACCAACAGACTCTGAGGGGCTCCTCCTTCCAGGGAGAAAGGAGTTGTCTTGCAAGATGGGCCTGACAACCTCCAATCAAGTGACAAATAATTACTGAGCACTCACTTTGAGCGATGCCCGGCAGTGTCCTGAATCATAGGGCCCTCCCTGGTTGCAAGTTGTGTTCTCTGCTCTGTGCGCCCTTAGGCAGGCCCTCTCCCGGCCTCCTGGCTCCAACCAGAAAATGAGGCTCCTTCCTGATAGGAGTAAGGAAGACAAAACAAATAAATACATGTGAGAATTTTTAAATTAGAAGACACTTCAAAAGATGGGTAATAAATAATTCGATATTAACAAGAAACATTACTTTTTTTAAAAAGTTACAGAATAGGAACTGAGATCTCTAGGGAAACACAAACTAGCAAAATGTACCTATTACTGGGTTTGTGTGCAGTCACTTAGAGATCTTTGTCTCCAATCTTCTCATTATTTTAAAGGAAGCATTGAAACTCAGAAAAGACAAACGGCTTGTCCAAGGTCACACATATCCAATTTGGTTAGGCACATCCATTTTGGTTAGCCCTGGTCTTCTGCCAAACCTGTACTTTCTCTGCCACACACCAGGACACAAATTCTACTCAGCAGTATTGTGATGAAACATCAGCAAAAGGAGAGACATTCCTTTCCTCTGGGGGTTCCAAAAAAAAAAGGCTTCATGAAAGAGATGGGACTTAAGTAAAATCCTAAAGAGTAAGCAGGATTCAGATATCTGGAAAAGCGAGATCATGCACAGGGAGGGAGAGAGGTCACAAAGAGAGATGAAGAAGGACATGTTACAAGAGCAGCAAACAAGTTTGGCAGGAGCAGAGTGCTTGCTTGGGTGATGGGGAGCAAGTAAAAGAAAACAGTGAAAGTTTCGTTTTAGGATGATCAATAAGTCCCTGTACAGAATGGATTAAAAGGGGATGAGATGAGGGAGGGGGAGGGAAGAGAGGGAAGGAATTGCAGGCAGAGAAAACCATTAGGAGGTCAAGGCAGCATCCGGATGCAAGTGATGGAGGCCTGATGAAATGTGGTGGCAGGTAAAGCTGAAATCAATGAAACTCTTCCCAACCCTGTTCTTTTAAGCCTGCCTTATAGGAAGTACTCTGCTGTTAACTGCAGGGGACACTGTATGGAAAGGCACATGTGTTTGAGATACAGTGGAAAATTGGGACTGCTGTGGAGTTTTCACGGTAACTGACCTGAAGTTAATCTGATCCCTTGGTGTCAACATTCAACACCTGGGAGCTGGACAGCAACAGCCTTTGGAGAAGAATGGGTTCAATTAGGATTTCTATCAATTAACCAAAACCAAAAACCAGAAAGGGAAAGGGAAATCCTGTTTCCTTTCATTCCTTGGAGGCGCTCGAAGTCACAAATGAATGGCTTCGGGCGCCTGGGTGGCTCAGTCGTTAAGCGTCTGCCTTCGGCTCAGGTCATGATCCCAGGGTCCTGGGATCGAGCCCCGCATCGGGCTCCCTGCTCAGCGGGAAGCCTGCTTCTCCCTCTCCCACTCCCCCTGCTTGTGTTCCCTCTTTCACTGTGTCTCTGTCAAATAAATAAGATGTTTAAAAAGAAAATTAATGGCTTCAAGGGCTTTCTCAGGTTTTTCCAATGGAAATAGTTTTTCTCTATGAGCACTCCATCTCTTTACACGGACCAGCACCAGCAGCATCATAGGCCTGCCAGACTCAGAATGTGAGGCCTCGCCCTCTACCAATTGAGTCAGAATCTCTGTCTGAAGAAGATTCCTAGCTGATTCACATGCACATTAAGTTAGAGACGCATTTCTCTATCTATTCCCCTCTGAAGCTAGTGTTCTTCAAACTTTTGAGTATGTTGCATAGCTTTTATTTTTTTTTTAAAAAAGCCATATATTACACCATACCAACACACACACAACTTCCTTATAATTTAAATAAAAGTTTCATAAAACAACACATATCTTTAAAGTGTGATTCACTTCAAAAAAAAATTTTTAAAGATGTGTGATTCACTTCAATATTTTCTATTCAATTTATTTCATTTAAAAAAAAATGCTGGCCATGACCTACTAATTGATTCCATGACCGGCTAATAGGCTGCAATTTGGGGTTTAAGAAATATGGAACCATGCTATTAATTATTTTATCTTGGGTCTTGTTTGCATGTATGTGTATATTACCTCCCTTATGAGACTGTGAGTTCCTTGAGGGCAAGGTTCAGATATTTTTTAATCATTGAAATATAGACCAGAGTTAATGGCGGGTTTTGTATGTAGTAGCAACTCAGTAACTATTCAATGAGTAAATCAATCCATGAATGCATAAGTGGATGGAAGCCCAGGGATTGGGGGCAAGCTAGAGGAAGAAGAGAGTGAAGCTTGGAGTATAGGAAAAGCCCAAGCCAGGAAAATATTTACCCAAAACTCCAGGTCCCTGAAGCAGTATCAATGGACTATGAGCAGAAAAGGTCGTTTCTAGAACAGTCATGCATTCCAAATGCTCCATTGTTGGCCAGAATCTTTTTTTCCAATAGAGTTCACCTTTATTGCTCAAAATTCCAAACTTTGGGGACTTAAGGAGGAAGGAAAACAGCTGAATAGCTAACATAGTTTCTTAGACAAGGAAAAGAAATGGAGAAATGACAAGGACATGGCCACACAAATCTGACATGAAAAGAGGGAAGATTTTCGTGCATCTTCTTGTCATTCTGGAACCAGCGCCACTGACCAAAAGGAGAGAAGAGCTGGGACTAAATACTCTGTTGGAAGCAGATTTTGTCTGACTGCACATAGATGCTTGGCAATTGTATCTTTCCAAAACTCAAAATAGCATCTTTTGGAGGCAATAACTTCCCTGCCACAGGAAAGAGACCACAAACAATGAAGACATACTTACTGTTCACCAACCAACAGAACAAGGGGAGAGCATTGATTGATTTAATATAAATAAAATCATAACCTAAAGTGTGAACATTAGACTTACAGTATCTCACGCTCTAAAGTCATCTCAAATGTCCACTCTCGTTCAACTCCTCAGTTGAAAGGAATCTGCGGAAATTATCACAGATTCCCTTATCATGAGATATATAAGAAAGCTATAGATCAAGGATTTCATCTCAGACTTTCAAACTCAGGCATATATATTTTAAATGGGAATGCTGCAGACGACATAGTAGGAATCTCTCATTCACTGTGAAGATGATCAATGAGTTACTGGGAAAAGGCTAGCAGTAGATACATTTATTGAGTATCTACTATGGACTAGCCACTGTAGAAGGTATTTTGCATGTTTTCATTTCATAGAATCCTCTTTTTAAAAAACTCCTTGAAGTAGGGGGATTTAAGCATCATTTTCCCAGTGAGGAAAGGCAGGATCAAAGAGGGTAAATAATTCGCCTAAGATTTTAAGGCTACAAAGTTCCAGAGCAGGTTTTGAACAAAAGTCTGTGTTACTCCTAAATCCATACTCCCTCTTCTTTTGCTTTGCTTCCCAGCCATGGAAGAGTTAGAGCAAAAATTGGCTGGAAGATGGAAGGACAGAATTCTGATTGGGGCAAAGGATTGAATAGCTGACTTGGTAAGTACCCCCTTGTGCTGAGACTCTGGGAGGCTGTGAAGGGTTGTTCACACTGAGGTGGCAATACTATTAAGTACTTTGAGTACCCCCTGCTGTGCAGAATCCACAAACTGACTCAGTGGTGGTCCATTACACTTGAAAGTTAATGCTGCTCTTGAAAGCTGCTTTGGCTGCAGCTCAGAAGGAAGTTTTTGCATCTGGAGAATTCCACTCCCAGTGTAAATTAGTGTTCTTTGCTTTTTTCAGAGTAACAGACATCAACCTAAGCTAGTTTGAGGAGTGGGGCAGGAGACTGATTTTAAAAAATGAAGAGACTCAAGACATACATGGAAAGTAATGAGGCCAGACCTCCGGAAGGCACTGGAAGGTGGAAATGGAATCCTGCTAGATCTCATATATTCTTTCTCTCTCCATCTTTGTATCTTTTCATCTCATTGTCTTGCTATGCTTCTACTTCTTTCCTCTCTTGCTGCAAAAGAGCTCCCTGTTTCTCTGCTCCTGTAGAAAATAGTATCTATCCCATGCATTTCTTAACTTGTTGTCTCTGGGCCTCAAGTCTTTTTATCAGGAGAGGGTATCTCATTGGTCAAATGTCCACCTGTGGACGATCAGACAGAACCAGAAGGACGTAGTCACGGTACTAGCAAAGCTACTGGGAGCTTAGCCCTGTAACTTAGATATTAAGTGGAAAAGGAAGGTTGGTGTAAATCCCAGACAGAGTGCAGAAATGTGGCTGCTACACTCCTTAACGTGAGCAATCGAAC